AACAAAATCGGAAACGGGTATATTTTGATAGTATACGTTCCAAGGAACATTTTAGTACCAAAAACTTGCGAGTAACAAATTCTATACATGTAAATTTTTGTCATAACGTGCGATGCGCGACAATGCAGTTTTGATTATTTATCGGAATTTGTTTAACAATGTGATTTTTTCGATATTTCTTTGCACTATCCTAGAGCAACAAAAAAGCAACAAAATCTGGTGCATTTGTTTTTTTGATATTGCAGCTCTATATATATTTTTTCATTATGGGGGGGTCCAGCTTTATATTAACCTGGACCCCCCTATTTTTTTTTTATTGCTGCTAAACGGTTGGAGCAACAAAATTCGCTCTAGAGCAACTAATTAGCAACGAAAGAGCACTAAATTTTTGACCTATCACGAATTTGATTTTCGATGGTGGGGAGTCCAGGTTAATGGGGGTATTTTAAGGGATAACGAGCGACGGCTAAAACTTGTTGGAGGTTACTTAGGGTCATGACCTTGACGGCATATGTCGAGGTCATCGGAGAGGCCTCCCCTAAAGTGAAGATTTACCATGACTTTTATCATTTTAATGCTGAGAAATTCATAACATATTTTATCAATTTTATAATTAAATACAATAATAAAATTGTAAAATTAAATATTAAAAATAAATATAAAATAATTGTAAAATTAAACATAATATAATTTGTCCATATAAGTGTCAAATTTAGTCGTAAATGCATGCAAAAGTACAAACACAGCGCAGTAAATTTGTAATCATGCATGCACTTAATATTGTTTTCGTATAAATGATAACATGAAAAGTCTTATTACACCTGTTAGCATTTTTTTAGACAACGGAAAAATCGGTTCTTTGCATATACAACACATGGATAATAGCAAACTTACCTTATCATTCATAATTCAAGAAGCATTAATTTTTTATGTTTGATAATTTTTTCTTTGTATCAGTGTAAGAATTTTGTTCTTTTCTAGAATTTTTACTTGAGCATTTACATTTTTTGTAAAAATTTTATAAAAATTATATTGTATTTTTAATCTGTATACTCTGATACAAATTTAGAGAATGAATCAAAATTTATATATTGAAAGAAGATTAATTGTATTTTTCTTTTTTTTGTTTTTTTTAGTAAGCTGCAATTATCATGGAGGTACACGCTCGTGCTCCAGATCCTTTAATAAATAATGACGATATGGCCAGCAACTGGCAAAGCTGGAAAGAAGATTTTATTATATTCATGAAAGTAACTGGGTATATTGATAAACCTAATGAAATCCGCGCAAATCTTTTAAAAAATCGGATTGGAAAAGTTGGCATTGATGCAATACAAAATATTTCTTTTGACAATGTGCAAGATAAAGATAATATGGATATATTGATTGAAAAGCTTGAAAAATACTTTAATCCGCCAAAAAAAGAGGTGGTTGAACGATACAATTTTTTTACAAGAGGAAAGAAGCACAATGAGTCTATTGAACAATATATAAATATTTTAAAAGTACGTGGTACTTGTGATGTATATTTTTTTGTATATTGTACACACACATATGTATTGAAACCTTTGTTATTTACAGGAAAAAGCTAAAAATTGCAACTTTAATGATATGCTAGACAGCATTATACGAGACAAAATTATTCTTGAAACTCATGACAAAATATTACGTAAAAAATTTTTCGAAGCAGACAATTTGGATTTGTCGAAGCTAGTAGCAATTTACCACGACTACGACATTAATACGGAAAAGATGAAACAAGTTACTAAAGAAACGAGAGCAGACTGTACAAGTTCTATACCAAAACCACCAGATAATATTGTGAAGCGAGCCTGTTGGAGATGTGATGAGCAGCATCCACTTGGGAAGTGTCCTGCTAAGGGATCAAAGTGCACAAAATGTGGCGACATAAATCACTTTACCCAATGCTGCAAGGGTTTTAAATTTAAGATGAATAAGGTAATAAATTTCAAGATAAAATAATATATTGATTGAAAATATTGAAGACTTATCAACTTGATTATTAAAATGTGTTGTGGTCATTTACATTATGATTCTATAATATTGTATTCTTTAATATTGTAGGTGAATAAAAATTTACTGGATCCAACAATGCAACAAACAAAATTGAACCTTAAGGTAAATAATCAAAAGAAAAATGCACAAAATTAGCATCGTTATTTACAATTTCCATATATGCATGTTAAGATATATTGCATAATATGTATATTAATAACTACTATCTAAATAATTCATATATAACAAAATATTTATATATATGTATAATTATCATGTAGCAAAGATAATGTTGCATTTATAAGATATGATTTTATTTTATTTACATATATATGACTAATAAAACGAGATATTTTTAACAATATGTATTTTTATGCATTAATTGTATCACTATGTACATACATACACTGAAACAAAAAAATTTAGAGAAAATTCTTTCAAGATTGAAAGATATTAAAAGCTATCAATATTTTAAGGCAAAAAGAAATAAAGTAGGGACGCTTCCCAGATAGCAACGTGTTTGTTTTGTTGCTGGCATATTGCTTGCTAAGTATGCATTGCTAAGTATATGTTGCTACCAGAATTGCAGCAACTAAGTCCTCATTTGTTGGCAACTTGAAGCCTTCACGATATGATAACGTTGAGTAGTAACTTGCCAGCAATTTGCCGACAACTTTAAAATCGTCATCATCAAAATTCGTACTATTGCCATCATGTTGCCACAATAATATGCAGCATTATACAATGCTGTCATATTGCCGACAATGCAAGATAACATTGATGTAGCTATCTTGTTAAACTGCTGGCAATACGTATACACATTGTTGTCTGCATGTTGCTACAATGTTAATATATTCGAAATCGTTGAAGACAAATCTACGGCAAGTTGTCAGCATCATAAGCAATCACAGATTTGCGAGATTTGTGAGACACGTTTTGCTGTCTGGGTTGTTACGGATAAAAGTATAGGCATCATTTCAAAACATTAAGTATGATAGAGATAATTTTGTTATAGGATAATGACAAATGGAATAATCAAGCAGATTCCGTTAAAACTAAAGATTCAGTGAATAAAATGGTATTTTATTCCTCATGTATCTCCTGACTACATATTAAAATGGATTAAATAGATAAAATGTTTTTTTAGATTTTTCCTGATGTTCCGACAACAAATTTAAATTACATTAATACAACGAATTATTCAACAAATTTGCCCAAAAGTACACGTGCGTATTTCGTAATTATTTGTGTTCATATTATATAACAAAAGTATAAAAAATAATTTTTTATCTAAATTGAGCTAAATGGTAATAAATAATAAAAAAAAAACATTATTACAGAGTACAGTCATTCGTATCCGAAATTAATTCAACCAGACGGGATTTCCAATTTACATAATAGAGGTGAAAATGTTCAATCTAAACAGACGGTAATACTTGATAATTAAAGAAGCGCGCGTGCGTGAATGTCATACAATATCTGTAACGCGATTATAACTTCCTTTTGCAGAAAACACCAAGTGCAGGTACTTCACAAGAAATATCCAAACCATTTGTTGGAACACATAATGCATCGTATAGCACACATAAGTTTCCAAAGAATCAAAAGAAAAAATCAGACGATTCTTGTAAATTATCCTAAATCTTTCATATACACATATATGTATCTTATGAATATATCTTGCAGAGTTAGCAAAAATTTTAATTTGTTGTAAGGGAATCCTGAAGCTGCCCTGTTATACTAATTTCATTCAGCGATAAATCTTCGAACTGGTTTTACGAATGCAATTTTTTTTACAGAATTAAAATACGCACAAAAGGATATGGTGAAGATAAATTTCATTAGTTTTTGCAATAACATAGATCCAGGTACGGTGAACGTTAAAGTCACGGTATCCTTTTCTTAATTAGTTGTTAAGGGGCCTTTTCTGACTTTACTGCTTTTTTATCGATAAATTTTTATTTTAAGATTAAAGTCTTATTCATGGTTTTATTCCACCATAATTTTATTAACTTGATTTAATTTGACATTGATCAAGTTCGGCCTTTGTTTCAGGATTCCTTTAAAAGTTAAATTAGTTTTCATTTTATAATTTAAGATTAAAAAAGATTTATAATAAAAAATTTCTGTATATGCACATATAAAAGTTAAGGTTTTCAATATACATTATGAATACAAGATGATAAAAATACTAAAAATAAAGCTTTTTATCATATATCAATTGCATTTATGAAATATATAAAAACACAATTATACCTTTTTTATACTATATATATTTATATACATACTATAAATTAAAAATTAGAACTGTATTAAAATTGCTTAAAAAATTATGTCCTTTGAACATGTACGGAAGTTTCTTCAACATTTTGGCAGGAATCATTAACTGCTTTATCAGCCAACTGCTGAGCCTTGAATAATTCGACAAGTTGTTCCGTTGCTGTAGGACCAAGCTTAACAGCTGCACCAAACTCTTTCTACAAATAAAAATGAAATTGTCATATATTTTATGAAGTTATATACAATCTTTTTATAACTAATCTCCTTAATACAAAATAAAAGAAATCATCTGAATAAAAACACAATTACATTAGGAAGCTGAACCAAGTTTAACATAGGATTTCTAAAAGTAAATGGTGTCCATGGTCCCTGAATCGATGGGAATTCCGTGTGCCACAGTTTACGCCATCTCAATGAAGGACCATTATGAAACTGTGTTCGTAATAATTCCATCCATTTTACAACATCCTCCCGGCTATAATTAGCAACCTCCATCCATTGATTATCGCCATTCACTGAGAAAAATATATTCTCTATTAGTACTACACTAATAAGGTTTAAATATAGGATAATTATACAGTTTAGTTACAGTACCTCAAAAATCAATTAAATTAGGCTTGTTCGACGTGTTTTTGCATAAAACAAAAGAATCTGGCAAAAAAAGTGTCGCTCTGTCCCATGAATTGAGATATTGAGCATTAAAGTTTGCAACTATTGAGATTCATGACTAGAAAATGTCAGCCACGCAATACTGCGAAATTATAACTCATATAGACAGTGGGTTTAGAGACAGTAGTGCTTATTGGTTCGGGGCAGCTACGTCGCCCTGAACAAAAAAAAATAAATCTTTAAAGACAGTAAAAACCTATTTGGGATTCGGGATGTGAGTATAGTATTTCTAAAGCCTATTTTTAAAGACTGTTCTTATACCCCACTGTCTTCATGGATTAGAAATATTCCAAGCGGACACTGTCTAGGCTGTAACTTCTAGGCAGTTAGGCCACAAGTGGGATGTTATTTTTTTTTGTACGGAACGGTTAAGCCGCCCCAAATCAATAACCATTACTGTCTACGTGGGTTATAATTTTGCAGTGTTGCGTGACAGATTTTCTAATTTCAATAGTCGTGAACTTTAACTGTTAATATCTTAATTCACGGGGGAGAGCGACGCTTTTTTCTGCCAGATTCTTTCGTTTTATGTAAAAACGCGTCGAATGAACCTAATTTTTATTGATTTTTGAGGTGCTGTAGCTAAATAACAGGTACTGTATAATTACTAAATAGTGTTCCATAGATAAACACAAACGTACAATATTCGGCAACTATGACCGGTTGCCTGTGCCTTCTTGGTTTAACATATACCACAACTCCTGGATTTTCTCTTGCATAATTAACTAGATCATGTTCTATGAAACCTCTAAAAAAAATTCAATATTGATTTAAGAAAAAAGAAAAAAAATGTTAATTTTAAATTTTATGCGTAGAAAACATTCACATGTGAGTATAGGTTAGAATCACCTTATTCCCCTACTTCCACCACGGTTTTTGCAAAACTTTAAAGTTATTCTCTGTAACTGGCAGACATAACGTCCGATTCCGAGACCAAAAGGTGCCCGCGGGAATCCTGAATTCAGAAATAAGTATTTATTCGACATTTTCCGTCAAATAAAAATAATTTAATAGAAAGTTACTATAGTTAATACGTGTACAGTTGTGTTACATACAGCCGATCACAGATAGAGTCCAGACTAGCAAACTCCATTGTATTTTCATTACCCTAAAGTCACTAGATCTATAAAGTACCGCAAACTCGCATCCATTTTGTTGCAAAACGCAGCCATTTCGAATTTATGCATTTGTGTTACGTGCTTTATTTGGGAAAATGAAGCCGTCAAGTACGTAAATCAATGTTTTTTAGTTGTAATTAGTTTATTTATGAACAAAAGAATATGTACGAATGCTTAATTTATGTGTTCTTTAGTTTAATACGGATTTATTTGCTATAGAAGTTTAGTGCATGAAAGTGTACGAAGGGACATGTAAGTACAGTTTAAAAGATCAACCACCATGCTTGAAATAGTGTACTATGTTCACTTCGGCCATTTTGTCGCAATATAATAGGCCTGTTCTTTTTGGCTGAACTTTTGCACCAGTTCATCTTTCTTCCTTTTCTCTACAGGAGGAAAGAAGAGGAAGAAAGATGAACTGGTGCAAAAGTTCAGCCAAAAAGAACAGGTCTTAGGCCGGAATCAGACTACGCATCGAAGATTGAGGTTGAAGATTGAAGATTGAAATTTGATCAATAAGGACAAAGAAATTCTAGCTCCTTTCGTTTCGATTGGTCAAATTTGAATTTTTCTATCTTCAATCTCAATCTTCAATGCGTAGTCTGATTCCGGCCTTAGATCTGTTCGCGTTGCATGAAATCCCCAAATATTTTTGCACTTAAAATGAGATAGATATATATTTGGCCTTGAAAAGAGAGAAAGCGAAGATGCCGAGCGCCAAAAGTGCAAGCAACGCGAACAAACCTATTCTGAAATCAATTGCGTTACTTTATATTCCATCAGTGACTTTACATGACCCGTGTTTAGAACGCCTCTACAAAGGGACAAGCGTTTTGGAGGAATTAAATGCCAACATGGCGTCTCAATTCTCAAATGTCGTCTACAATAGTAATACTTAAGGCCATCACACGTACAAAAATTTTAGTCGTAATCATAAGGCCGTAAGCAAATCGGCCAATCACAGTTGAGTGTTTTTAAACGCGAGATCGTAATTTTGACTGTGATTGGTCGATTTACTTGCGACCTTACGATTACGATTAAAATTTTT